TGTACACAGAACTGTGCAAAAGTATTCAGCTGTTGTACACAGAACTGCACAAAAGTATTCAGCTGTTGTACACAGAACTGTGCAAAAGTATTCAGCCACCCTGATTTCTTTCAAGCTATTCTGGACCAGTCTCACAGGTTTTCTTTACTTTTGACTACTTTTAACTCATTTACACTGTTTGTTTGTTTTGTTTGCTTTTGTCAAGCAACTTAACACTGTGCAGGGAACTATCTGAGTTTAAGTTTGTGTGTGTGTGTGTGGGGGGGGGGGGGGGGGGTATTGGCAGCAGATCTGGGCTGACCCACCAAACCATCAGGCACCGCATGTTCAATCTGCTGCTGCACCAGACATGATTGTTCTATTATATTTATTATTTTTCTTGTTGAAAATAAATCATAAATCATATGAATTCTCTTTTTGGGAGCTAATAACTAGACGTCACATTTAAACAATGTTCAGGTTAAAGCGAGTTTTTCCACGTCCGCGGGTCACTGTGATGTTCTTGCATGTGTGCGCAGGGCGTTTCCATGCAGAGCGAGTTGAGCAGCTCCGACAGTCAGAGCTGACAGACGACTACATGGACCCCAGACAGAGCTGGACCACCAGAGACGTGGCTTTGAAGGTCCATCAAGGCTTCAGGTCTGCTCACAGACATTTATAAATCCAACCCAAACGCACCAACCTGTTTCTGTCAATGAATGGGGCTGTTTTCATTTGATTCCATTTGCTTTAACTATAGGTGGTTCTGCTTAAACATTTACTTTAGTCTGCAATACTGATCAAAGTCTGACAATATCTGACTCTTTCAATGAAAGGAGACTACATAAACCTTTGTTCGTGCACACAATACATGACATTAATGTGTTAATATTGTTTTAACTTGATGCATTTTATCATATTTGGATCTAGTTGCATACTTAAAAATTGTTAGTGCTGAAATTATTTATGTATTTGTAGAGGCAGTTTGTTTTCTGAAAATAAAACATGTTTAATATTTATTAACAAAGTCCATGCTCAATAATCCAGGTATACAATCCAACATTTTTCAGTCAGGTCATCTCTTTGTTGTTTTCAACCAGTTTGACACGACTGTCAACAAGGAAGAGGGCCGGCATTGGAGGAGGGGGCGTACCAAAGAGACCATCTTATCACAAGCAGAACTGGTTTGTTCCACTTTGGAGTAAGCTGTTGGAGGAATAATCAGTTTTGTTGTGTTTCCTTGACTGATGAAGCCTTCTGGACCGAAGGTGAAACGTTTCAGCACCAAAAAAAAGAAACTGTCCAGATGACCTGACTGAAAAATGTTGGGTTTAATATTTATTATTTCGCCAAACACTAACAGATTGGTATTTAAAGCAGTAGTTCAGATATTTTGAGGTAGAGTTCAACTCCACACTTTGAATCAATTTAAAATGTAACAAAAAAATAAATAAATAAATAACAAAGAGGAGTACCTCTGTTTATTGGAGCTTCTTGAAATTCAATAGATTTGAACTCTTTTTAAAGCCGCAGAAGCATTGTCTTGTTAAAGGATCACTTAAATGGCTGACAACTTCTGATACACTGATCCATAAAGATATGTTTTAGATCCATCATCCATCCATCCATTATCTTTTTACCCGCTTCTTCCTTTTTGGGTCGCGGGGATCGCCGGTGCCCATATCCAGCAATCACTGTTCGAGGGGCTGGATACACCCTAGACAGGTTGCAAGTCCATCACAAGGCCGTTTTAAATCCAGTTTTATTTAATTATTTGTTTCATTAGGGGGCATTTACAGCTCCCCCTTGAGTCAACACCTTATTGTGATGGGGGATTTTGTGCGCCTGAATGATCCTAGGAGCTATGCTGTCAGGTGATATTGTAATTGCCCCTGGTAAGGTCTCCCAAGGCAGATTGGTTCTAGGTGACATACCAGACAAAGAGCAATTCAGAAGACTCTTATGGACAGTAATCAGCAAGGATCTCAGTGTCCCTTGCCCGGATGTGGTTTACCGGGACCCCACACTGGAGTCAGGCCTGGGAGAGGGGCTCATCGGCAAGCACCTGGTGAATGGGTTTTACCAATGGGGCCCGGTCGGGCTCAGGCGGAACGAGTGACATGGATTTGCTTTCCTGTGGGCCCACCGCATGCATGGGAGGCATGGGAGGAGTTTCAAGAGGCCATGGAGAATGACTTCTGTACGGCTTTGAGGCAATTCTAGTCTACCATCCGGCATCTCATGGGGGGAAAGCAGTATGCCACCAACACTATTTATAGTGGAGGTGGTATGTGTCGTGGGTCGGTGGGTGGAATACTTCAAAGACCTCCTCAATCCCACTGGCACGTCTTCCACTGAGGAAGCAGAGCCTAGGGGCCTTGAGTCGGGCTCTCCAATCTCTGGTGCTGAGGTCACTGAGTTGGTTAAAAAGCTCCTCGGTGGCAGGGCCCCAGGGGTGGATGAGATTCACCTGGAGTTCCTTGAAGCTCTGGATGTTGTGGGGTTTTGTTGGCTTACGCGACTCTGCAATAGTGCATGGACATCAGGGGCAGTTCCCCTGGATTGGAAGACTGGGGTGGTGGTCCCCCTATTCAAAAAAGGGGACCGTAGAGTGTGTTCCAACTACAGGGGGATCACACTCTTAAGCCTCCCTGGTAAGGTCTATTTGGGGGTTCTGGAGAGAAGGGTCCGTCGGATAGTCGAATCTCGGATTCAGGAGGAGCAGTGCCGTTTTCGTCCTGGTCATGGAGCACTGGACCAGCTCTACACCCTCAGCAGGTTCCTGGAGGGTGTATGGGAGTTTGCCCAACCAGTCTACATGTGCTTTGTGGACTTGGAGAAGGCGTTCGACCGTGTCCCTCGGGGAACCCTGTGGGGGGTACTCTGGGAGTATGGGGTACCAGGCACTTTGATACGGGCTGTTAGGTCCCTGTATGACCGGTGTCAGAGCCTGGTCCATATCGCTGGCAGTAAGTCGGGCTTGTTCCTGGTGAGAGTTGGACTCCGCCAAGGTTGCCCTTTGTCACGATTCTGTTCATAACTTTTATGGACAGAATTTCTAGGCACAGCCAAGGTGTTGAGGGGATCTGTTTTGGTGGCCTTAGGATCACTTCTTTGTTGTTTGCAGATGATGTGGTTCTATTGGCTTCATCAGGTCATGATCTACAGCTTTCGCTGGAGCGATTCGCAGCCGAGTGTGATACGGCCGGGATGAGGATCAGTTCCTCCAAATCCGAGGCCATGGTCTTGAGCCGGAAAAGGGTAGAGTGCCCTCTTCGGGTCGGGGAGGAGGTCCTGCCCCAAGTGGAGGAGTTTAAGTATCTCAGAGTCTTGTTCACGAATGAGGGAAAATAGTGTGGTCAAAGGGGAAGGCGCAGAGTCAGAAACCATGGGCAGTGTTGTGTTGTTTAAATAAACAGTCATTTACTTTGCTTAATGCTTATTTATTAACACGTGTTCCAATATTGTTCTAGCCACCGTGTCCATCTTCTCTCATCGCTCTCTGGTCCGACTAATCTTGCGATAACACAGTAACATTAAATACACTACATTTTCCTCCTTGTTTTGAACAAAAACTTATCGGTAACACAAAAAGTTTCCTTCTAACTTAGTCTTTAAATCACATTGTTACATTTTTTTTTAAATTAAACAAAGAAATCAAAACAACTCTAAATCAAAACAATTTCCATTCTACATTACTAAACCAAAAGGTAACATTTCTTTTCTCTATTTTGTTTTATTTATTTATTTATTTCAAGTCTTTCTGTATCTGATGGACTTTCTGATAACACGGCCCTTCCTGGTAGTGATGACCTCAGATACAGGTGGGTTAGGTTCTGGTGGGATCTCAGCTGATGAAGTGGTCTCATCAATCGGCACCTCCACAGTTTTAATAATAATAATAATAATAATGCATTTTATTTGTTAGCGCCTTTCAAGACACCCAAGGACACTTCACAACATTAAAAACACTAAAAAAACACAAAATAAAACAATACAAAATGGTTTTAAAAACACTATACCAAGAAGAAAGTAACAAAAAATTCAAGTGAGAAGGCTGACATGAACACATGAGTTTGAGTTGTGATCTGAAGGTCTGAAGGGAGTCAGTATTACGGCTGTCCGGGGGAAGAGCGGTCCAGAGTTGGGGAGCAGAGTGAGAAAAGGCTCTGTGTCTCGTGGTGCTGAGGCGGGCGAGAGGCACGTTGAGGTGGATGGAAGAGGAAGAGCGAAGGGAGCGTGAATGGGTGATAATTTGCAGGAGATCAGACAGATGGGGAGGGGCGAGGTTATGGATGGCCTTGAATGTGTACAACAGGATTTTAAATTGAATTCTGAAAGTGACTGGAAACCAGTCAAGTTGCTGTAAAACTGGTGTGATGTGGTGAAATGAGGGGGTTTTGGTAACAATGCTGGCAGCTGAATATTGAACCATTTGAAGCTTATGAGGTAATTTATGCGGCAGACCAAATAGGAGAGAGTTGCAGTAATAAATTCAAGAAATGACCAAACTATGGACCAGGATGGAAGCAGAGTGTGGGGAGAGAGATGGATGGAGACGGTTGATGTTTTGAAGGTGGAAGTATGCAGACCGGGTAATATTATTGATGTGAGAGTGAAAAGAGAGAGTGCTTTCAAGACTGACACCCAGACTCTTAGCGTGAGGGGAGGGAGAAACCATGGAGCTGTCAATGGTGAGGGAAAAACTGTTGGCTTTAGATATGGTGGATTTAGTGCCAATGAGTAGAAACTCTGTTTTATCACTGTTTAATTTAAGGAAGATAGATGTAAACCAGGATTTTATTTCAGCTAAGCAGGAAGTGAGGGAGGAAGGAGGAAGTGAAGAATTAGGTGCAGTGGATAAGAAGAGCTGGGTGTCATCGGCAAAACAATGAAAGTGAATGTTAAATTTACGGAAGATATTGTCAAGTGGGAGAAGGTAGATGATGAAAAGAAGGGGCCCCAGGACAGAGCCTTGGGGCACACCTGAAGTCACGGGGGAAGAGTGGGATCTGAATGACTTAAGTTGGATGAACTGAGTGCAGCCAGAGAGATATGACTGAAACCAAGCGAGGGGTGTATGGGTGATGCCAATGGATGAAAGTCTGTGGAGGAGGATGTTGTGGGAGATGATATCAAACACCACACTAAGATTGAGGAGGATGAGAAGAGAAAGTAAACCAGAATCTGCTGCCATGAGAAGAGTGTTAGTGATTCTAAAGAGAGTAGATTCTGTGCTGTGACCGGGGCGGAAACCAGACTAGAACTGTTCGTATAAACTGTTTTTGGTTAAATGGAGGTGGAGTTGTGAAGCAACTGTTTTTTCCAGAATTTTGGAGATGAATGGAAGGTTAGAAATAGGGTGAAGATTATTGAAAATATTTGGATCCAATCCAGGCTTCTTAAGGATCGGAGTGACAACTGCAGTTTTGAAAATAGTTGGGACAGTTCCTGAAGAAAAAGAAGAGTGAATATTGGCAGAAATGATAGGGAGAAGTGAAAAAAGGCAAGATTTTACAATCACTGTTGGGAGAGGATCCAAAGAACACGTGGAGGGCTTGGATTTCAGAATGAATTTGACTATTTCAGAGGCAGGAGGAAGCTGAAAGACAGAAAAAGGCTGACTGAGGGGAGAAGGTTCAGAGGAGGGAGGAAGAGGA